CCGCCACCGCCGCCACCGCCGCCGGGCCCGCAGACATTGCGCTTGTTGGCCCGACCGGCCACCGCACCAGGCTGCACCACCACGGTGCTCGCCATCTTCTCTCACGGGCACCGCTTCCGCACGGAAACTGACACCGCACGCAGCAGGGGACAAAAAGGACCCGGTACTCAAAACGCGAAGGATTAACAAAGGAGGGAGGAGGAGAGACGAGTGCGCATGCGTCTCGTTTAAGCACCGGCCGCGTCGGAAGGCTCAGGAGTTTGGGGCAGGGCTTAGGGCGCGGCCGCCGCGAACTTGACTTGTTGAAGAGCTAGGGGTGGGATCCTATGGACAGCAAACTCGATCTGCTAGTATAGTAGGCTTTCATTTGCACATGAACAAGCTGAGATTCTTGCAGGATGATGAGACTTGTGGTGTCTGTGAAGGTGCCAGATCCATTCTGGATGTGTCATCTTCCCCGCCCCGAGCATATTAAAAATTCTAGTCATCTAATGTAACCTGGCACCTTGGGGAGCTCGAGTCAGACATCCCCTTCCCTCAGGGAACTCACAGTCTACATAAACACAAAACGCGGTATTGTAGGGCGAGTAGTAATTCTCTTAAGCGCTCATTTTATTCGTCACAGGTCTCTGTGAGAACATTTTATTCATCCGTTCAACGAACATTTCTTAAACTCTAAGAGGGATGAGGATCACTCATCTAGCAAGTGGAAGAACTGATATTGGAGCCCGATCTGTCTGACTTCATAGTTCCACAATTATTCTGCCAAGTTATGTGGGCAATAAAAATTACTATTTCACGATGATATCTTCAATTATTCCTTCATTCAGCCTATCAGCATTTATTGAAACCCTACTGTCTCATCAGAGTGGAAATAGGGGTGGACCCAAGAACACCATAGAGTTGAGTGGTTCTGGAGTTAAGCAGCACGCTTTCCAGGCAGAAGGGACTGTGAGCGCAAAGGTCCGAGGCTCTAAGAGGCACCGGCGATTTGGGGAAAGAGACGGTGGCTGCAGGGAGTAAACCAGGGCTGCGGAAGTGCGAGACGGTGGGGACCCGGTGGAGGCGAGGAGAGTCATCTTAAGCGTCATTCAGTAATCAAGGAGCTTTCCAGCAAGGCGCGCGCCCTTTCTGCACGAGAACTGTCAGAATTCGAGATGCGCCGATCCTGCCAAGTTTCGGCAAAGGCGGCTCCCGCCGGGCGCGCGTTGCACGCCGGGATTTGGAGTTCGAAAGGCTGACGTTGCTTCTACGTGGCGGTTGCCGCTGGGCTAGCGGTACGGAGGCCGCCTCCTGGCGGGACCAAGGAATCTGTCATTTCTTCCCTCTGCTCGTTAATGTGAGCGCTGAGAGAAAACCACTTCTTAAGGATTTGGGGAAAATTTAGCCTGCTGAAGGAAAGGCTGAAGACAACTCAGAAAAAGCTTTCAATTAAATGAATGTACATTGCAGAGGAAGGTGTTCGACCGTCCTGCAAACCCACCGGCAGAAAGAGAAAAGAAGGGTGATTAATAGCACTAGTGATTTGCCCTTCTGGGTGCGCGCGCCCACGCACGGAAGGGTGGGGTAGAGGTAGGGATGGTGTGGGAGCAGGTTCAATTGTAGAAAATTTTAAATGACTCCTGAGAACTCCGGAAGTGGTGAGTGGCAAATCCAGGACTTATTCTGAAGACAGGTAGCTGATTAGATAAGGTGTTTTTGTTTGTTTGTTTGTTTGTTTGTTTGTTTGTTTTTAATAATTTCCCCCCCTTTATTTTAGAGACCCACCGGGCCCCAACCAGGGGGATTGAACCTGCCACCTGGGTATGTGCCCTGACTGGAATCGAACAGGAGACCCTTTGGTGGACAGGAAGATGCTCCAACTGCAGGGGCTAGGGCTGATTAGATAAGGTTTTAATGGATGGTCGCAGGGAGAATCTTTCTCAACTTTTTTTATTTTAAAACTTACTGAAGTCAACAACAAAACAAACAAAAATGAGCAAATGACCTAAGTAGACATTTCTCCAAAGGTATATAAATGGCCAATAAGCACATGAAAAGATGCTCAACATCGCTAATCATTAGGGAATTGCAAATCAAAACTACAGTGGGATCTCACTTCACTAGGATGGCTACTATCAAAAAGCAGAGAATACCAAGTGTTAGTGAGGATGTGGAGAAACCGGAACCCTTGTGCATTCTTGGTGGGAATGTAGTGGAAAACATGTAGGTTTAATTGTAGAAATTTTTTGTATGGTGGTTCTTGAAAATAGAAAACATAGACTTGCCATATAATCCAGCAATTCTACTTCTGGATATATACCCAAAATAAGTGAAATCAGGCACTCAAACAGATATTTATATACCCATGCTCATAGCAGCATTATTCTATAGATAAAACATGGAAGCAACCTAAGTGTCCACTGATGGTTGAATGGATAAGCAAAATGTGGTATATACATACAATGGAATATTATCCACCTCAAAAAGAAAGAAATTCTGGTGTAAGCTATAACATGGATGGAACTTGAGGATATCATGCTAAGTGAAATAAGCCAGTCACAAAAAGACAAAAATTGTATGATCCCATTTACAAGAGGTATCTAGAGTAATCAGATTCATATAGACAGATTGTAGAACAAGGGTTGCCAGGGACTGGGGGAGGAGGAAATGGGAGTTATTATTTAATGAAAAGAGTTATGTGGATGGATAGTGGCGATGGTAGTATGGCAATGCAAATGTTCTTAATGTCACTGAACTGCACACTTAAAAATGGTTAAAATAGTAAATTTTATGTGTATATTTTACCACAATAAAAATTGGGGAGCCCGGCCGGGTGTGGCTCAGCGGTTGAGCGTCAACCTGGGATCGAGGTGATCAGGGTTCGATTCCCGGTCAGGGAACATGCCCGGGTTGCGGGCTCAATCAATGACTCTCATCATTGATGTTTCTGTTGTTCTCTCTCCCTCTCCTTTCCTCTCTCTGAAATCAATAAAGATATATTAAAAAAAAATTGGGGGAAAAAAACGTACTGGAAAGATACTGAAAACCACCAATACATAATCACACACACACACTATATAAATAAATAAAAATCCCTTCCCCTACTTCTCTCATCCTACTCAACCCCCAGAGTTATAACCATTATTAATAATTTGATGGGTATTTTTTCTATTTCCCCCCCTAAGTTTACATATTGATATATCTATACCTATAGATAAATTATATGCCTAAACACACATATACCATATACACATATTCAAAATACCTATATATACATGTATGTTCACACATAGAGTTATGTTTAGAGTTGGTATACTAGATGATTATATGCTGGTATTACAAAGCCAGAGTGCCTATGTTCCATTTCAGGTTCTAGTCATTTACTAGCTGTTTAACCCTGGGCAAATTAATCTCTCTATGCCTAGGCTTCCTCATCTTTGAAATGGGATACTAATATTACCTAACCTTAAAAAGTTGTGAGGATTAAATGAGATAACATGAAAGGTTCTTAGAACACAGTTTGACACGTTATCAACAAAATTTAAGTATTAGCAATTATTGTGATGATGCATTATCTGCAACTTAATTTTTTGTTTTTATTTAATATATCTTTATTGATTTCAGAGAGAGGGGAGAGAGAGATAAAAACATCAATGATGAGAGAGTCCTCATTGATTGGCTGCCTTCTGCACGCCCCCAACTGGGGATTGAGCCCAAAACCCTGCATGTGCCCTGACCAGAAACCAAATCTCCATCTCCTGGATCCTAGATCAATGCTCAACCGCTGAGCCACACCTGGCCGGACTGCAACTTAATTTTATTTAATATATAGTGGAATGTAGACAAACTTAGCTATTCTTAATTATTCTATTTTGTAGTATGAATATACCATTATTTATCCAATTATTTCTTGATTAATAAACATACGATATTTTTGCAGTTTTTGCTATTACAAATAATGCCGCAACAAGCATCCAAGCATCCTCCTGTTGATATTTTTATATATTTGCGTTTATTTCTTCTTTTAAAATTGATTTTCAGAGAGAGAGGAAGGGAGAAAGAGAGAAAGAGAAACATCAATTTGTTGTTTCACCTATTTATGCATTCATTGGTTGATTCTTGTATGAGCCCTGACCAGTGATTGAATCTGCAACCTTGCTGTATCAGGACAGTGCTCTAACCAGCTGAGCTACCAGGCCAGGACCTGCATTTATTTCTCAGAATTCTTTTTTAAAGTAGAGTGACTGGTTCAAATTGGATATAATTCCCATGGCAGGGGATATGCTGTTGAACTCAATGGGAAGTCTGATGAGGCTTCATTGCTCATGGTGTTATTACTTCATTGCTATCCATGAAAAATATGCCATTTTGCCCTTAAACCAGCAATGTATGAGAGTGCCATTCCTCCCATAGCCTCACTAACAGAGTATGTTGTCAACAGTTTGGACTTCTTGCCAATTTATAGGAGGGGGGAGGGAAGAGTGTAGTTTTTTAAAAAAAAATTATCTTTATTGTTGAAAGTATTACGGATGTCCCCTTTTTCCCCTCATTGATCCCCTCTGCCCTGCATCCGCCCCACCCCAAGGCCTTCCCCATGCTATTGTATGTGTCCTTGGGTTATGCATATATGCATATAAGTTCTTTGATTAATCTCTCCCCACCCACTTCTCAACCCCAGCTTCCCTCTTGAGATTCTTCAGTCTGTTCCATGCTTCTATGTCTCTGGATCTATTTTGTTCATCAGTTTATTTTGTTTATTAGATTCCACATATGAGTGAAATCATGTGGTACTTGCCTT